AAGAGCCAGAATGACCTTTTCCACATCTCTGAAGAATTGGGCATTAAAATTGTGAAGATTGGCAGTTTTGGGACCAAGATGGCTGCCTGTAGTTTAAGGGCAACCATACCTATGTGGCATGCTTATCCAGCAGTTTTTTCTGGGCAATGAAAGATTCCCTGGCATGGCTTCCCATTTTGAAAATCTAAATTTTTTGAAGGATTTGGCCCTCATGATCGATATTCTAAATAAGATTTCTCTTCTGTCAAATGCCCTGCAGGGGAGAAACACAGATATCATCAAGGCCGAAAAATTAGTATTGCGAACAATTAAAGCATTTGTAGTGCTTAGACAGGGAAAGGGCGCGTATGAAAAAAACATTGATGCAATGCTAGCTACCCAAGCCTTCAAAAACATAAAATTAGCTCCAAATCAATGATTTGTTGCCCTTCCTCGTGAAAAGCTTATTTTAATCATATTTAAGTAATAAGTGCACAAAATAATATATTTCCTTTTTTATATCTTTTTGTAGATCATTCATTGGGGCAAAGAATTCAGTGACATCGTCTTGGCCACTCCCACCCAGTCACATGGCCAGCAAGCCACTCCCACAAAGCAGGCCACACCTACAGAAGGTTCTAAAAAAATTTGAAACCCACCACTGAGTTGTTGGTAAGATGAATTGATGTAAACATTTAATAATGCAATATGATGTTGGTTATGTAATAGTATACATGTGATTATATGTTATGAAAATAAAAAAAAATAAAAAACTTTAATTAAAAAAAAAAGAATATTACCAAATTTCTGTCCAGATTTGGCACACCAGCTTGAGCGTAAGTGGCACACTGTGGACGTTCGGAGGGCTCTCCGGATCTATCCCCGCAGAACAACCTCCTTTCGGCGCACAGAAGCATTGTTCCTGGTATTCCAGCCAGACACTATGGGCCACAAGGCCTCATCTTCATTATTAGGTCGGTGGATCCGAACCTGTATTTCAAAGGCTTACTCCTTGCAGGCACAATCACGGCTCATTCCATGCATAGCACAGCCACCTCGGCAGCATGGGGGATGCAAGCTCCCTTATAGTAGGCTTGCAGAGTGGCTACGTGGACACTGTCACCGTTTATTCGGCATTATAAAATTGACAGCTACGCATCAGCGGATGTAGCATTTGGGAGACGAGTCTTACAGCAAGTCAGCAGCATTAGTCAGGGAGTTCCGTTCCATAAAGTGTCCCACCCGTGATATTTGGACAAGCTTTGGTATGTCCCACGCATGGATGCTATCTCCACTAATATAGGAGAATGGCCTTTGGCTTACCTGATATGCCCGTTGTCCGGCAAATGTGGAGATAGCATCCAGCCCCACCCCATCAGTGGTCTGGTCCAATGACAATAGGAGAGATCATTCCAACTGTTGCACATAAGTCTGCATGTCCATTTTCGTCAAAAAAGCTGGGTATAGCAGCAGGAAGAGGCAGGACTTAAAACTTTGCAGACTCAGTTCTATTGGATGGCATATGAGGATAACCCACACCTTTCCAGAGAACGGGCGTATTAAGTAAGCCAACTCCCATGTTCACTTAGATTCCTAGTTCCTCAATTGATTGATTCAACTAATGAGGTGTTTGCAGCAAACATGTTTCAAGACTAGTCTCACTCCTTCCAAAACAAAATCTTAGGACACAGTGAAACAGACAAGTATCACTGCATTAAATATTTCTTTCAACTTTTTTCAGTCTGCAAAATGAAACATCAAAACCCAAAGACACTCAGAAACCAGAGTCACAGCATCAAGAATGGTTTACAAAATATTTTTCTTTTTGATCAAAACTGTTTCTACAATAATCAACATTGACATTATTAAATATTTATACAATATGTTTAAGTGATATCCTACAGAACAAGGAAAGAATCACAGGTAACAAACAGCTAAACATGAGATTCAATAGTAACTGTAAACACTGCCATAAAGAAAAAAAATATTTTTAAATGATTAATTGATAACTAATCTGGTATTCAGCAAATTCCAGGTAAAATGGATTCTTAGTACGTCTATGTAGATTCTGTCACCCGGGTCATGGTTGTCGTGGCATATTGCAAAGCTCAACCTTTCTCCCCCTCCCCACCAACGCCACTGCTCACCACACTCGGCACGGCAATCAGCGGAAAATTCAGCTTTCCTCCTCCAGGTTAGGGAGGGGGTGGAAACCTTCCACTCAGGTGGTTCGCGTCCTGTGGAAAGCTCCTGCGCGAGCGAACACGCCGAGCAGTTACATCTGATTGCCCTCGCAGATGCAAAGTAAACCTCCAGCTGCTCCGCTCACATCTTCAGCCTCATTTTCAAAACCTCCCCATTGATAAAATATTATCTCCCTCTCTTCCATTAAGCCCGACAGAGGATCAGTCCAATAAAGCTGTTACTAATAACTTGGTTCTATGGAGTGTAACTATCTTCCTGAAGCCTCCGGAGGGAGAAAAAACACCCCCAATGTGCAAACTGGAAGTCAGTTCCCAAACTTCCAGCTTGTGGGTTGGGTTATTTTTCACACTCCAGAGCTTCAGGGAAGCCTCCGCAGAGCAAAAAGGAAGGTTAAAATCAGCTGGCCAGCACGCACATGTGTGCTGGCGCTATAAGGTCAATGCCTTGCATGCCCTAAGACAGTGTTTCTCAACCTTGGCAACTTGAAGATGTCCGGACTTCAACTCCCAGAATTCCCGAGCCAGCGAAAGGTTGAGAAACAGTGCCCTAAGAAATGGCTCCACATGCCACCTCTTGCACGCGTGCCAGAGGTTCATCATCACGGGAATGTTCTTGCTCCTTAGGATATCTCCAGTCAGGTAGAGACAATGTTCAGTTTGCAGGTAATAGAATAAAAGAATCATACTTCTGATCCATACAATGACAGCTGTAGCTTCATTTAGGTTAGGTTCCTTGTCCATTTTTTCAAAAACAACACATTTTTCAATACAAAATGTAAAATGTTACTTATGAAAGTCTGGCAAACTTTATTCTGGCATTTCAATGATGCTTCTTTTCACGTTTGCTTGAGGGGTGCAGGAATATTGGCTGAAGCTTGTTCTAGATAAGCTAGAGGTCCCTGAGGCATCTCAGTAGGTTTCTTCTGCTGGATATTAATATCGTCTAAAATTGGTTGCCAATGGCGAAGTTTTCCCAAGTGTTTCTGAATTAGTGTTTCTTTCCGCTGCAATTCATTTCTCAGTTCTGAAACATCCTACATGAAACAGAAGCATACAGGAAAGAAACTAAGAATCCCTCTTTGGAAAAAACATTTGCATTTTGAACAAAAACAACTACAAAACCTTAGAAAAACAAGTATCCTGATGTGTTCCAATAAATTATCTGAATTACACTAACAGCTGCTTCCTTTCCTTAAACAATAAACTCCTTGTGATGAATTTCTACCTCATTTTTAATTACAATTGTCTCACACCAGTTCTTATGTATTGCACAAAAATAAAGTGATTTTTTTCCCTTCATTTTTCATCAAAAACATGATGAATTATGGTTATGGGTATCACCACGCTAAACTTTGGCCTAATAAAGTTTAAGCTTCAAGTTTATGGATGTGTCTATGAACTGTTACGATTTTACCCAGATCATCATGAATTCAATGGACATTTACCCACATTTAAATTTATATTGTTGTACAGTAAAATAATTCCATTGCTGTGTAGATGATATAAATAATACTACTTAAGCATCAATAGCTGAATTTTAGCACAAAAAAGAACACAAGGTGGGTGGGTAGAGGGGAAAACATTAAAAAAAAACTAGTGGTTTTCTTCAAAATCTCAATTAACATCATAACTCTAACAGATAAAATAAAAATACATCCTATCTTTCCACAATAACTTAAAGACCTGACTCTGCTCATTGGCCTGGGGACCAAGTGGGAGGAGTTCCAGGCTGGGTGAATGCTGGATTGATAGCCAACTACACATTTCTTCTCTTTCCCCCCTTTTGCTCTGCTCTCCACCCATCCATCTTTTTAATTATAATACTGATGTACTATTCTCATTGTGTTCTGTTTTCATTGTTTATCTGGCCCCTGTCCCTCACCCTCCCATCATTCTTTGCCTGGCCCGAGAAGGTAAGGACAATAGTGAGGGATGGAGACTCGCTCCATATTCCAAAGCAGGAGCGAAACGCCCCTATACTTGCTATATCTCGTGGGCACTTCTTCCGGCACGTGTTGGTGCTGCATGCACCTCAGTCGCTGTGCGACTTGCTCTCTGCCCTGAGACACTCGCCTGGCCCAGCTGCAAATGATGCTCCGCATTGTAATGGGCTCCAGGAGGAGGAGGGGATGCCGTCTTCCCCCAGTGTGAAGCATGCTAAATTTAACTGTGCTGCTCAAGACACTGCGAGAGTAGCAGGCAGGCTATGGAGGTGGCAACAGAAGCGGCGTTGGCCACAGCCAGGCCAGGCCAGTGTCTTGGGGTGGAGAGCAAGTTGCACGCCTCCCCGAGCGACCAAGGTGCACGTAGCACCAACAAAGGCTGGAAGAAGTGCTCACAAGATAAAGCAAGTACAGAGGTGCTTTGCTTCCACTCTGAATATGGAGCAAGTCTCCATCCCCCTGCCATCACCCTTACCTTCACAGGCCAGGCAAGGAGTGACTGGGAGAGGAGGGTGCGGGGGGGGGCTAGCCAGCGCTGGGGGGGTCTCGCCGA